TTTTTTTTGCGGTATGCGGGCCTCTCACTGTTGTTGTGGCCTCTCCCGTCGCGGAGCACAGGCTCCGGACGTGCAGGCCATGGCTCACGGGCCCAGCCGCTCCGCGGCACGTGGGATCTTCCCAGACCGGGGCACGAACCCGTGTCCCCTGCATCGGCAGGCGGACTCTCAACCACTGTGCCACCAGGGAAGCCCCATAGCGAGTTTTTAAGCAGAGGAATGATCTGATGCATTTCATCTCTTAGAAAGTTAACTCTAGAAGCAGTGTGAGGAGTGGGTTGGAGAGGGCATAGCAGAGTCAAGACAGCACAGCTTTCAGGACTCATAGTGAGAAATGAAGATGTGAACAAAGGCCCCTAGGGGGACTGGAGAGGAGGAGCTGGGTTTGAGATATTCAGAAGGTAGAATTGACAAGACACAATGACCAGTGGTTATGGATTGTAAAAGTGGGGAGCATGGGCTTCCCATTTGGGCAGCTGGGAGGTGGTGTTGCAAAATAGGCATGGAGATAGGATTTTTGTGGTGCTGGATGTTTCAGGGGGTTGGGATGAGGTAGATGGTGACTTCAGTTTGGGACACATTGAATCTGAGACCCTTATAGGACATCTGGATGGAAATGTATAGTAGGCAGTTTAAAATAAGGGCCTGGAGTGGAGGTGTGAGGTTAGATATCCAACTGAATAGTTGTTAGTAAAAGCCATGGAAGTGAGTGAGATTGTCGAGGCATGAACTTAGAGATTTAGGGGGGAAAAATAATAGCAGATAACTTCCTAGTGCCTACCACGTGCCAGACTGTTTCTGGGGGATGCTAACTGCTGAAGAATAATTGTAAGACTAAGGAGTAGACAGGAAGGTAAGAGGAGAGCCTGGACATCCTGCGTTAAGTAAGGAGTGGTAAATAGTACTTTGCAGAGAGATCAAGAGAGTGACTGAAAGTGTCCATATGGTAGCACAACCCAGAGTCAGTGGTGGCCTTTAATGAGAGTCATTTTAGTGGCACAGTGAGGGTGAAAACTAGATTATAGTGATTGAGGAGTGAAGGTGAGGTGAGGAAATTTACATTCTTTTAAAGTTTGGTAGTAAAGGGAAGGAGAGGTTGCAATAACTAGTAAAGGAGGTAGAAGCCAAAAAGTGATTGGAGTTGAAGAAAGACAGTGTTATGTAGCAGAAGGGTAATTACCTGATTGGAAAATGATAGATTTCAAGCTTTCCTCAGGGTCAGTGCACAAGAAAATTTATGAACAGTGGAGTGTCAGTTACAAGACACATGTTTTTCTCAGGTGTGGTAAATATTTGTAAATGCAGAGAAAGGAGAGTGTGAAAGAAGAGCATAGAATTCTGAGAAAGATTCCACAGAATATTGAAACAGTGCACACTGGGTATCTCCATTCCAAATCTGCAGAGTTCCAGCAGTTTATGGAAACTAAGAACCAACTCTGGGAATGATTGGATGAGTGTATGAAGTTGAGATCTTAAAAACCTTTAAATTGGTTTACCTTGTTCCTAGCTTCTCCACTTGAGTCTGCTGTATACAGTTCTTTGCATGGAATTGAACTAATGTCAAGTGACTTCTTTAAGTGTTGTCTTGCTTAAAGGTTATGAATAGGATTTCTAATAAGAAAAGAAGAGCTGTTTTAACCACATTATTATTATTATTATTTTTTTGCGGTACGTGGGCCTCTCACTGTTGTGGCCTCTCCCGTTGCGGAGCACAGGCTCTGGACGCGCAGGCTCAGTGGCCATGGCTCACGGGCCCAGCCGCTCCACGGCATGTGGGATCCTCCCGGACCGGGGCACGAACCTGCGTCCCCTGCATCGGCAGGCAGACTCTCAACCACTGCGCCACCAGGGAAGCCCTTAACCACATTATTAATGTAACTTAAATACCCCAAATTTATTTTCTGTTTAATTATACATATGCTATTCTAATACGTGGTCTTGGGGTTCTTGAGATTTTTAAATTTTTACTCTTTTATATATACACAAAGACTTCCAGCAATGAGGATGACACCGTCTTCCTCCCTGTTGAAAGAGTCGTGTGAAAAGTGGACACCCTTCTTCTGTATACTAAAATCTAATAAAAACTTCTCTATGTAGGAAAGGCACACATTCAACATTTGGCATACAATTTCAAGGTGTTCATGGAGCCCCTGAAACCCACTCTTGGACGCCAGCTTAAGAATCTCTGCCTCTTCTGACCTTTTTAACTCTAGTGCAGAGATTGGCAAACTCCAGAGTGCAAGACAAATCCAGCTCGTTGCCTGTTTTGTACATAAAGTCTTATTAGAACATAGCCCAGGGACTTCCCTGGTGGCCCAGTGGTTAAGACTCTGTGCTCCCAAGGCAGGGGGCCCAGGTTCTATCCCTGGTCAGGGAACTAGATCCTGCACGCTGCAACTAATATACCATGTGCTGCAACTAAGACCTGGCACAGCCAAATAAATAAATAAATATTAAAAAAAAAAAGAAAAGCAACTAAAAATCCAATACTTAAAAAAAAAAACAAAAGAACACAGCCCATTCGATTCCGTATCATCTGTGGCTGCTTTCCTGCCACAAGAGCAGGGTTGAGTAGTTGCCACAGAGACCATCGAGTCTGAAAAGCCTCTAAAATATTTACTCTCTGGCCCTTTACAGAAAAGGTCTTCTAATCCCTGTTCCACAGCCCGTAACATCAGTTAACTTTACCCTTAGTCCATGAGGTAGTACAAAACCAGAAGCTGTCTATTTAACTTCTATATTGGGAGTTCTTATAAGGGGTGGGGTTCTGTTTTTCCGAGTGTGGTTTGAATATATAAGAATTCTATGTTAAGTAACTTACTTGTTTTCCATCCAGATCCTATCCCTGGTGGTTGTAATTTGGAGTTTGATTTAGATATCGATTCCAACATTTACCTGGAGTATAATTTCTTTGAAACAACTATCAAATTTGCTCCAGCAAACCTAGGTCATGCGAGGTATGTCTGTCTCCCGACTCCTAAAACTCCTTTTAGGACGTGCATTGCTCGCTGTTGTGTAGACTGAGTAAATTCTCTCAAAATCCATAGTTTCTCTTTAGCAAAATTGAATTGCTTAATTTTTTTTTTTGGAATGGAAGTAATTTAAGCTTTGTTACTAATACTCGAGCTGTCATTTACAGTTAATGTTGTTTCCCTTCATTCTTAGGAAGAGCCAGATGTTGAGCCTTTATTATGAGCTTAGAAGTACATCTTAGTTTTCGTAGAGTTTTAAATATAGAAAACATTCTGGAGGCATGAAACACTCATATTTTTTGTAAGCATTTTATTATTTTAATTAACATTCTGCCCTAGTTTCTACTTTAATAGTAATGATAGCTAACATTTGAAATGCTCCCTGTGTATCATCCATGGTCCTGCTAAGTGCTGTGTGTTGTCATTTAATCCTAATTTTATGAAGAAGGGGCTGCTGTTCTTATTTTACAGAAAGGCCCCCTAAGGGTTGTTGAGATTAAGTGACTTGCCCACATACACACAGCCAACGAGTAGCAAAGCGGGCAGTTGACTCAACCTGACTGATACATCTGGTTATGTAACCATACATACTGCCTCTCCTTTCTTGGTGGTGCCAAACTTGGAATCGTTGTTGCAGAAGTTTGAAGTTCCAGCTTTTGGTTCCTTTTTATGGATGAGACTTGCAGCACAAGAGACTGATGCTCAGTTTTGTTGGTTGACTTTAGAGGCGCAGATGCTCCGCCGTGTGACGTCAAGACGGGCCAGGACTCCAGGTGGAGGTTACAGTATGACGTCTATCAGTATTTTTTGCCGGAGAACGACCTCACTGAAGAGGCATTGCTAAGGCACCTGCAGAGGATGGCTGAGGTGCCTCAGGTGCAGGCCAATGCTCTCAAGGTAAATCTGACTCTCATAATTTGTGTAGCCAGACTGTGACACCTTTGTAAGAGTTGAGAAGGGGAGAAGCTACCAGGAGCTTTTTTTTTCTTTTAAACTGTTTTCTTGGTTTTTCTGGGATTCTCACTTTTTCTCTATTTCATTATCACCTTGGGAGTCATTGCTAGTGATATCCCTAAGTAACGTTGGCTTTTGAGGAGATGCATGTAAATTTTGTTATATTTTAGTTGCAGCCACATCTATGACTGTTAATCTTGAGCTATGGATGGAAGTGGGTGGTAATTTTCTATGTGCTCCCATAACTATTAGATTAAAAAAATTTGGCAAGTCTAAAGGTTATAGTGTTTTGAGAAAAAATAATGTGAAACTGTTTAAGGATATATACGTTACCTTTAATATTTAAACCCAAATGCAAAGTTTCTAACTTGCAGCAAAAGTTTTCTTCGAGCTTTTGAAACCCCTGAAAACTCTTGTGACTCCAGGGGTGGGGACAGGCCAGCAGCCTTGGCATCATCTGGGAGTTTGTTAGAGTTGCAGACTCTTAGGCTCCACCCCAGAGCTATGGAATCAGCATCTGTCTTTATGATCCCCAGGTGATGCCTATGCAAATTAAAATTTGAGACTCATGCTCTAGATTTGTGGAGGGCAGGATTTTATCTTTATGTCTTAAAGGGTGCCTGATATTGGTCTAATAAACAAGGTCATCTGTCAATCTAGTGGTTGGTGGGTAAAGTTTTTCTAGACTACTAAGATCTTCCTAGAAGGCTGTAGATTATCAGATTACATAGAAAGAAGCAATTGAAACTGGGTGTCTGTGATTAACCTAGGCGCTCAGCCTGTTGCAGAGTAAGATCTGATTTTGTTGCTGTGTCACCTAGCATGTTATTTCCCCATGCTAAGAGGGAGGCTTGTACAAGAAAACTCATTGTGCTTATTCACCAATTAGGAAGCTCTATTGGCAAAGTTTGCCTTTGTACATAGGAAATTTTGAAGACCATTTTTATTCTTATGAAGAATGTAAGAATTCTTATAACAGGGTCTTTTTAGTTTACTTCTTAACTTTTGGTTAAGAGCTAGAATATCGCGTGCCAGAATTCAAGGAAACCCTCAACGACTAATGAGGGCATATCAAGAAGACTCTGGAGCCTGCTTTTTCTGGTTGGTTTTTGTTTTCTTTGGATTTTTTTTGATGTGGACCATTTTTAAAGTCTTTATTGAATTTGCTACAATATTGCTTCTGTTTTATGTTTTGGTTTTATGGCCGCGAGGCATGTGGGATCTTAGCTCCCTGACCAGGGATTGAACCCGCATCCCCCGCATTGGAAGGCGAAGTCTTAGCCACTGGACCACCACGGAAGTCCCTGGAGCCTGTTTGAAGAGGCTCACACTGGCCATCTCTGGGACAATTCAGTCATCAAAGAGAACGTGATTGATTATGCCTTGAATAAACAAAAACACGTCCATACTGATACTAAAAAAAGAAAAAGGAAAAATGCTCAGTTGCTACCGTTGGAGCAACGTACACAAAATTTTACTCTGAAAATTAATAAAGGGAAGGAATTTACCCTGCCTTTTTAAAAGGAGGATCTGTAATTCACTCCCGGTTGATAAGAGAAAGCTCTGCTTTACAGAAGAATGCCAGCTAGTAAATGTAGAAGGAATAATAGAATTAGAAAATCTCCATTTTCTGACCCTTAGTGAAATAATTCAGGCAAGGATCACCAGGTGAAAGAGTGTTGGGGGGAAGGATATTCCCAGGATACCTAAATAGCACCCTCAGATTAATTCTTATTGCAAAGGGAAAACTACTTTCAGAGTGGAGTGATCCGATGGTCTCTACCTTATCCATGTGGTCAGAGTTAGCTTTGCTGATAGTAGGTGAACCTGCATTATGTGCTCATGTGAATGTAGGCTGATTTTATCGCCATAGCCTATGGAATAGTCTAGCAAAACAGGTTTAACTTGAGTTCCTGTTTATAGGAGTTCCTGTTTACAAGAAGTGCATAGGATCAAAGTACAAGTTAGACATCTTGAGCACAATCTGATAAATTCAGATTGTGGAGTGATCTGTAAAATAACTTCCTTAATCTTTCAAAGGTGATTCTGGATTGCAGAAATTGGAGATAAACATCATACGTGAAACTTGGTTGGATCTTGGTTAAGGGATAGAAAAGCTATAAAAGACATTTGGGAAAATTTGAATATGGACCGTGTATTAGATAATAAGAAATTATTAATTTTCTTAGGTGAGCTAAGGTATTGTGAGCACATAGGAGAATATCCTTGTACTTAGTACCTTGCTATTCAAAGTGTGGTGGATGAATGCATAGCGTTGCATCACCTGAGAGAGTCTTAGAAAAGCAGAATCTCAGGTACCTCCTCTGACCAGCAATATCAGAATCTGAATTTTAACAAGCTCCCCAGTGATTCATAGGCTATTAAGTCTGAGAAACACTGTGTTAGGACATGCATGCTGAAGTATTTAGAAGTGAAATGTCATGATTCCTGTAACTTACTTTAAAATGGTTCAGCCAAAAACTATATATATATGTGGGGTGGGGAGGATCAGGAGGGAGGGACAGAGAAGCAAATCCGCTAAAGTAAGAACAGCTGTTGAATCTAAGTGGGGTGTATAACGTTTTCATTGCATTATTCTTAACATTCTGTTGGACTTGACCAATCTTTTGCCCAGAACACACACATATATATATTTTTTGCGATATGTGGGCCTCTCACTGTTGTGGCCTCTCCCGTTGAGGAGCACAGGCTCCGGACGCACAGGCTCAGCGGCCATGGCTCACGGGCCCAGCCGCTCCGCGGCATGTGGGATCTTCCCGGACCGGGGCACGAACCCGTGTCCCCTGCATCAGCAGGCGGACTCTCAACCACTGCGCCACCAGGGAAGACCCAGAAAACATAGTTTTGAAGGCTAAGCACTATATTTACACAGTAGAAGTTTTCTAAGAGGCTCCTAATTATTTACTCCTGAAACTCAGACATTTCGTTTTCTCCCTTCTGTTAGTAGGAACATATCTGTGTATTAGGGCTACGTGGGGCCTTTGTTTCTCCTATTATATTTATCCCCTATTTAACAAACAACCTTTGAAAGGGAATTTTTGAAGTGAAGGGCTACAGGGCAGCACAGCTGTATGTGATTTTTCTTATTTCAGAGACTGCTAAGGACAAAGGTAAGTGGCTGCTCTCTGTGAGACGTTAACCCACACGGCCTACGTCAGCTCTGTAGCTCGCAGTGACCACTCACGTTTTTTGGACACTTACTCTGTGCTAATTACTGAGGGGACACTAGTGAGCAGGATCAATAAGGTTCCCGCCCTTACGTCATTTACAGTCTAGCAGACGAGACAAAAATTCCTTTCTTTGTCCTAACTAGTGCATTTTACTTAAATCATTTATTTATATCACATTTTACTTAAATTATTAACATATACAAAATCTTTAGACACATTTTGTGTAAGAGCTTGTTCATATCAACACGTACAGACTGTGCAGGACAATCTCTTGACAAAGTCAAATGGGTTGGCAAACTATTTATATGTAGGATGGATAGCACAGGGAGCTATATTCAATATCCTGTGATAAACCATAGTGGAAAAGAATATGAAAAAGAACATATATATATATATATGTATGTTTAACTGAATCACTGCTGTACAGCAGAAATTAACACAACTTTGTAAATCGACTATACTTTAATAAATTGTTTTAAAAAAGCCAAATGGGCTAGTGTATATTTTAAACAAGAATTGTACTTTCATATTAGAATTTAATAGCACAAGTAGGTGGGGTTATAATAGAAAAGCTTGTGGGGTTTTTTTTAAATTAATTTTTATTGGAGTATAGTTGCTTTACAGTGTTGTGTTGGTTTCTACTTTACAGCAAAGTGAATCAGCTATACGTATACATATATCCCCTCTTTTTTGGATTTCCTTCTCATTTAGGTCACCACAGAGCATAGAGTAGAGTTCCCTGTGCTATACAGTAGGTTCTCATTAGTTATCTATTTTATACACAGCATCAGTAGTGTATATATGTCAATCCCAATCTCCCAATTCATCCCCCCCCTTCCCCCTTGGTATCCATATGTTTGTTTTCTACATCTGTGTCTCTATTTCTGCTTTACAAATAAGATCATCTATACCATTTTTCTAGATTCCACATATATGCATTAATATGAGATATTTGTTTTTCTCTTTCTGACTTACTTCACTCTGTATGACAGACTCTAGGTCCATCCACATCTCTACAAATGACCCAATTCCGTTCCTTTTTATGGCTGAGTAATATTCCATTGTATATATGTACCACATCTTCTTTATCCATTCATCTGTTGATGGACATTTAGGTTGCCTCCATATCCTGGCTATTGTAAATAATGCTGCAATGAACATTGGGGTGCATGAGTCTTTTGAATTATGGTTTTCTCAGTGTATATGTCCAGTAGTAGGATTGCTGGGTCATATGGTAGTTCTGTTTTTAGTTTTTTAAGGAACCTCCATACTGTTCTCCATAGTAGCTGTATCGATTTACTTTCCCACCAACAGTGCAAGAAGACATGCCGATGGCCAAGAGGCACATGAAAAGATGCTCAACATCACTAATTATTAGAGAAATGCAGATCAGAGCTGCAGTGAGATACCACCTCACACTGGTCACAATGGCCACCATCAAAAAATCTACAAACAATAAATGCTGGAGAGGCTGTGGAGAAAAGGGGTTTGCTTTTTTTAATCTAAACACTAATCATGCATTATTTTTGGCTTCAGGTGGTTACCCTAACAGCTGATGATAAGACAAGTGTTTCTTTCTCCTCCCTCCGGGGACAAGGTGTCATTTACAACGTCATCGTTAGGGATCCATTTCTAAATACGTCTGCAGCTTACGTCCCTGCTCACACGTACGCTTGCAGCTTTGAGGCAGGGGAGGATAATTGTTCTTCCCTTGGTGAGTATGTGGATTTCAACTGTGAAAATTCTTCTTTGGCTTTGCGGATCTTTATCAACTAGTACAGAACTTAAGGATATTTAGAAGTGCTTTTGTCTCATTCATTCATGCATTCAGCACATGCCTCCTGAGCCCGTCCAGTTACTCCACTCTCTGTTCTAGGCACTGGGATAGAGCAGTGGACAAAACAGACAAAATACTAGCCCTCCTGCAGCCTGCATCTTAGTGGGAAAATGTATCTTTCACAAGATACATTTGTGAAATATATCGTATGTGAGATACATAACGAGGGTAAAGAAGCAAGAATTAAGTGGGAAAGGGAGATAACCAGTGAGGGCGAGAGAATTTGAGAAAGCATGGCTCGGGAAGTCCTTGCTGAACAGGTAGCATTAGGATAAAGACCCAGGGCGAGGCAGGGAGCCATGGACGTGTCACGGGGGGGGGGGGGGGGGGGGGGGGGGGTGCCAGGCCGAGGGGACAGCCAGCGCAGAGGCCCTCAGCTGCGAGCCTGCCTCGTGTGGCTGCTGGAGCGGGCGGCCTCGCAGGTCCCAGTTTGGACTATAGCTTTTATTCTGAGAGCAATGAAAAGGCATTGGAGAGCTTGAGCAGATGGTGCTGATTCGTGTTTCAATGGGATCACTCTGGCCGCTTTGTTTTGTTTTGTTTGAGAAAAATCAAGGGCAAGAGCAGAAATAGGGAGATTGATCATCATAGTGTCCAGGAGAGAGAGGGCGCTGGCAGTGGGGCTGCTGTAAGATCTTTCTGTTTATGTGTGTTTAGCATCTTATTTTGAAACAGTTTCACAGAAAAGATGCAGAAATGGTTCAGAGAATTCTGCATAGTCTTCACCAATGGTCCTCAGATGTTAGTTACCACGTTACGCTGTTTGCTTTTTATTCTTTCTCTCTATGTACACATATATATACATTTTTTTCCTGAAGCATTTGAGAGCAAGTTGCAGACCTAGAGACCCTTTGGCCCTTAAATGTTTCTATTTATTTCCTTATGTAACTAGTAAAACTATCAAATCACAAAAGTAACATTGATATAGTACTGTTATTTAACCTACAGATGTTATCAAATTTCACTAGTTACTCCACCAATGTCCCTTATAACCAGAAGAAAAATGTATTTTCTGGTCGAGGGTCCACTTCATGATCACGTGTTGCATTAAACTGTCTCTTTTATCTTCCTGCATCTGGCACAATTTCTTAGTCTGTTTTTGTCTTTCAAAACCTTTACCTTTTTGAGGAGTACAGCTTATTTATTTTTGTAGAACATCCTCAGTTTGGGTTTATCTGATGTTTCCTTGTGACTAAGTTCAGATTATGAATGTTTGTAGGTAAACAAAAGAAGTGATGATGTGTCCTTCTCTAGAGGCACCTGATAGCTGTGTTTTCCGTTACTGGCGGTAGTAACCCTGATTACTTGGTTAGGAGTGTCGGCCAGGTTTCTCCTCTGTGTAGTAACTATTTTCCCCTTTAAGTATCTTTTGGGGAGATACTTTGAGTACAGGTAAATAGTCGTTTCTCAAACTCTTCACTGCTGGCTTTAGCATCTGGTGAGCTTTGCCTGAAACATTTATTACCAGCCGGTTGCCAAATGGCATTTTTCCATGTTTATCATTCCTTTTATGTTTATAGCTGTAGCAGAGGGAGGGGGTCTAAGGACTGAGCCCTGCGTGCTCCAATGATTATTGAGATCAGGAAATTGAAGAAGATCTCACCAAGGAGACTGAGAAGGAGCAACCAGATTGGTAAAAGGAAAGTGTTTTTTGTAGCTAAGAGAAGAAAGTGTTTAGAGGAAGAGACAGTGATCACCTGGGTCAGAGGCTGCTGACAGGGCAGCTGAGAAAGAGACTGGAAAATGACCATTGGATTTAGCAACATGGAGGCCACAGGTGCCAGTGAGAGCATTTCAGGGTAGCCTGACTCGAGTATGTTCAAGAACAAATAGGAAAGAAATTGGAAAGAGTTCAAACAACTCTTTCAAGGAGTTTTGCTCTAAAGAATGAAGTCTGTCGGTTGGGTTCAAGCCAGGGTTTAATGTTTGCTGTCTTCTGTATCCTGCCCAGTCTTCCACTGCCACGCACAAGATCCTTGAGAGATACAATGCAAGAGACCAGGCAGATATAAGTTCTGCGTTGTTGACTGATGGGCTGTATCTTGTCTGGGTTCCTCCGTTTCCTTTCCCTCAAACTCTTTGCACCAGGGCCCCTCCTAATGAGAGTGAGCCCTGGGACCTGTCTTTCCACATTAGGCGGAGGGGAGGGAAAGGTCCCATCCTACTGTTCCTCCAGCTCAGAGTTGGGTTCTGTGGCTTTTGTCTTCGAGCTCGATGGACACTAGGATGCCTTTCCTGAGCTTGGAGTAGGGCGGATGGACCCACGTTGCCTTTCTTTTTCTTTTTTAATTTTTTTAAATTTATTTATTTATTTTTGGCTGTGTTGGGTCTTCGTTTCTGCGTGAGGGCTTTCTCTAGTTGCGGCGAGCGGGGGGCCACTCTTCATCGCGGTGCGCGTGCCTCTCACTGTCGCGGCCTCCCTTGTTGCGCGGAGCACAGGCTCCAGATGCGCAGGCTCAGTAGTTGTGGCTCACGGGCCCAGTTGCTCCGCGGCATGTGGGATCTTCCCAGGCCAGGGCTCGAACCTGTGTCTCCTGCATTAGCAGGCGGACTCTCAACCACCTCACCACCAGGGAAGCCCCACATTGCCTTTTAATTAAAACCTTGGCCTCTGTCATAGCTATAGTGATTCCGTCATGATTAAAAACACTAAACACTGGCTCCCCTGTGTCTTCCCCTCCCACTCACCCCTTTGTCTTCATTTTCCCCAGAATTCGTACCTTGTGTTGTCTCTAGATTCTACTTATGAAATCTCTCCTCTTGGGCTTTACTTCTATGTTTAACTTTTTCTCTCCTTCCTTCCTGGTACTGTGATCCGAGATTCTACTTAGTTCCTCTCTGCTGTCTAATGTCCTGGAGGAACATATCTAACTGTGTGTGCCAGTTTTTCTTGGGTTGCTGTCTTTGGTGACTGCACCACTTGCTGGAAACTTCCGCTAGATTTTCACTTGAAAAAAATTATCCCACTGAACTGCATGTTTTTGCTCTAAGGATTGAATCGTAGAACTGCTGTCAGCCGCAGGTCTGAAATAAGCAGGATGTTGCAGTAACTCTCATTTCATCTTTCTTTTGAGCTCTTCATTCTCAGAGAAACTGATATGTAGGTATATTTTATGCCCTGCAAATGGTGGTCTTCTGTCTTGTGTTCCTTATCTAAATGTAGGTCTTCATGGTATCCATCTGAACACTCAAGTATTTTATGTGTGTATGTGTATGTGTTTGTTTTTTTTTTAAAGCATTGACTGATTTAATCCTCACATCCACGGTGGCATTGGTACTTTTGTTTTTAATTAATTAATTTATTTTTGCTGTGTTGGGTCTTTGTTTCTGTGCGAGGGCTTTCTCTAGTTGTGGCAAGCGGGGGCCACTCTTCATCGCGGTGCGCAGGCCTCTCACTATCACGGCCTCTCTTGTTGCAGAGCACAGGCTCCAGGCGCGCAGGCTCAGTAGTTGTGGCTCACGGGCCTAGTTGCTCCGTGGCATGTGGGATCCTCCCTG